TCAGGGGACACTTCTCTTTCCCATCTCAAAGCAGCTGCCTGGCTCTTGTCTGCCTGACCTTTACGGCTAATCCACTTGGCAGCTGTCAGCTGAATCTTTCCAGAGCGTCAGTGCTAAGTAGAGACTGAACATGTGACCTTCCCCTTCCCCTCCGGAATTCCCAGAGTATCCCTCTTTCACTCCTCCCCTCACCCACCCCGTCCAAGTACTCGTGCGTTATAGGTGTAAAGGGAGAGAGCGTACTTTGTATCATACAAGCGACACAAGAAACAGTGGGAAAAGTTGGTTACAATGTCACCTGGAGATAGAAAAGCCTCTTGCCTTTGGTCTATCCTCTCCCAGTTAGATTTATAGACAGAAGTACAAAATAAATATTGCCTAATCAGAAAAAGTGTATTAAAGACGTTATGTGGAATATCTCTCTTATTTTTAATCTCTTTTTAAATTTCATTTTGTTTTTTTAACATTTTTTATTGAGTTATAGTCATTTTACAGTGTTGTGTCAAATTCCAGTATAGAGCACAATATTTCAGTTATACATGAACATACATATATTCATTGTCACATTTTTTTTACTGTGAGCTACCACAAGATCCTGTGTATATTTCCCTGTGCTATACAGTCCAATCTTGTTTACCTATTCTGCATTTTGAAATCCTAGTCTGTCCCTTCCCTATTTTATAGTATATTTTACCCATGGCTAATTATGGATGATAGCAAATTAGGAAAAATAAGCAAAAAGGAAATAAAATCATTGTTATTCTCACCCAGGGGCGACCCCCAATTAATACTTTAATTTATATTCTTTCAGACTTTATGCATATATAATATTTATATTTTTTAAATTTTTACATAATGGCTTTATGACATATGTACTCTGAGTGGCAAAATGAAGCCATCTGGATTAAAAATATTAATGTAAGGACACTCAAGATAAACTTGAAATGGAGAATTGGGGCAGGCGGAATAACTGAATTTTTACCTGAGTGGAGACTGTTCTAAGAAGTTCATTGCCACGATTTTTCTCATCAAAAATCTGAGGCAATTTCACATTTGCTCTAACTCCTGGAAAGCAACTCCTTTATGAAGTTTCACACATGTGTTTATGTCCCGTGCAAACGTACACAAACACACCTGTGCGTGCATTCTCCCCACGTCATCCACAACTTTAAATCTACATGTGACTTTCAAAACAAATCTAGGAAAATTAAGAAATAACTCCAGCTGTTGATAAAATATTTCTGGTCATATTATTTATATCAGTTATAAGACTGCATCCGAGTTAGTCTAAGGATACATTCTTTGTCAGATGATAAGATTACTGAGAAAACAGATACTTAGGGAGCCTTTTGTTTTTACATGTGAACTTTGTCTAGGAGGTAATTATGAATCAGATTAATAAACTTCTGCAGTTTCTCGCCTCTGTGACTAAATTAATCAATCCAGTAAAAGCTTCTCTTTCATCTTCACGTATAACTCTAAAAGTCTTCTACGGTAAGAAAAGAAAAAATGGGCATTTTATTTAAAAAGTGTTTGAAGTAAGAAATCTTCCTAAATTTTGAAATCCTTAGGCTCCGTCCTCTGAAAATGATGCTCGTTGTCAGGACGTGGCTAAGTAAATACTCAAGTGTCTTTCATTCCTGTGAGCCTCCCACTTCCTCTAAGCCATTATCCACATTTGCCCTGGGTTTATTCTCACAACCTTTGTCCCCAGCTTCCAGTCGAATACCTTCCCGTCACGAAGGTGGGGGGGGTGGGGGGAGAGGGTTGTAAAACCCAAAGCAGGTAATAAATTGCCTTTCTTCCTCTGCTTTTTCTCAGAAACTGGGCGAACGTACAGAAGAAAGAGCAGCACATGAATTCTGTGAAGAACGAAGTAACTTTTCCAAAAGATGCCCAGTGCTTCGGGCGGTTAAAAGTGAATTTTCCTAAGTATCAATGCCAGCGATAGCCTCGTTAGTTATTTCAGGAGATGGTCTCAGATACTACAAAGTGGCTAATTCAATTTAAGGAGCACAGTGGCCAACCAGCACAGTTTCCAACATTAAGAGAGAACAGATACGAAGAACATGGCATTCCGTCCTTTAAGAAAGAAATAAGAACTGTTTGGGCTCTTGGTAAAATAGTAAGTCCTCTTTATGTAGTAAGTTTGGCCAGAGCCTAAAATTGATTAGAATCTCATCCGTTAATTGGAGTCCTGCATTTCCCGGACCGATACCCTCTCGAAGCGTTCTCAGTCAAAATACAGAGCGTGATTATTTTGTGGCGTGAGTCGGACCCATTCACTTACCTGTCAAGACACCTACGTTCTTGGAATGATTCTCCGCTTGCCACTGGGGTGTAGCTCAGGAGTTAACCAGGAACTGGTGACTTGGAGAGAGGAATGGAGAATGGGGCTGATGAAACCCTGAACCTTTAAACACTCCCTGTGGTTGGTTGCATCATAACCAAGCTACAAATTCAAGCAGATATAAAATTTAGATCAGTTGCACCTTAATGGGCTTTGCAGTTTATTGCTCAGTCCTTCCCCTTCCTTTTCTTGCTTTGTCTCAAGATTATATTTTAACAATGTTCCCTGGGTCGGCGTTTAAAATGAGCTGGTTATCACCAGCTGACACATAATTTTAACTATAAAGATAATTTTGTTACCAGATTTTCCAAGTCACAGTCACAGATTTGAAGTCCTTCAACATAGGATGGTTACTATTCAATTTTAGGCTCATTTCAGCCATGCTTCAGTTACACTTTGAGTATGTGTCTTTCTTCCCTGGTTTTGATTAAGAAGCTATGTATTCAAGGTCAAATTTTGCATCATGCAAAGTCCTACCAATTTTAGACAAAGATTGTTTTGACTAGGTAAAGAAGTGGAGAAGTTACTGGGACATATTCACAGGCAGTGCTTAAAACCATCGCGAGCAATTAGAAGAACCCCCAGTTGCTATAATCATATGAGATACCGTGAGAATTGTTGTTTCTAACAACTAGTCGAGAGCGAGTGAACAATTATTTATAAACTAGATCTCATGTTTTCAGAATGCTTTTCTATATATTAATGTGCAGTGATAAAGAAATCAAACATCTCAGAGGCTATAGCTGGGAATCCAAACTGTGAATGTGTGTGGGTGTCCGAACACCAATTCACACGTGAAGCCCCACATGTATGATTACTCCTCAGCGTGGCTTGGCAGGTAAACGACCAAGAGACGAATTGGAGCACGCTGGAGTAGAAATTGTTCCAGTGGTCCCAGACGCTCAGCCCTTCCTCTGAGAAGCGTGGTTGTGCCCGTCCAAAGCGGGACGGATGTGATGATTGACATTAGCCAGCGTGGAATGAATTCTCTTTAAAAATAAAATGTTGTGCGATTTGTTGTTGGCATCCCCCTTCATTGTTCATTCATTCATTCTCTGGATTTGGGTTTTGAACAAGGGTGTATGTTTCAACTTAGGAAAGCAGGAATCAGATTGGTGGACGGCCCTGGGTGCTCTGGCTTTACTGCGTGTATCAGGACCGCTTTGGCTTTAAATGTTATTTATTAGCTGTAAATACATGTGTGTGTGTGTGTGTGTGTGTGTAAAAGGAGGCTGTACATATTGGAGAGGTCGTTGTGGCTATCTGCATTTATAAACATTTGGTGCTAACTTTGTACGTGTTCCTATCAGTGATGGTCTCACTGAGCTAACTTACTCTTATGAAATAATACAATAAAATGGGCGTAAAAAACTCCACAAAACCTACTTACCTATGTGAAGAAATGGACTCTGCTTTTAATAAAATCGACAACATTTTATTACACTACTAAGTCATTATTTTGTATCATTTAACCCGCCTGAAAAAGAAACTTATTCTTAGGGCTGATTCATTCAGCAAATTTTTACTGACAAACCACTATGCTTAGTAAAAAAAAATAAATAAAAATAAAAAATATATATACATATTTGTTTCATAGTGCACATCATATATATATTTTTGTATTTATATTTATACAAAGCCTTAAAAATCCTTTACACTATAGAGAAAAATGATATAGGATTTTCCCTAAGTTCCCTAAATGCACATGACGTTCCTTCCCTGCTGGAGGCTTTTCCACAAGTAAAGTGTTAGGTTCATATAAAAATATCTTTGACCATTTTCTGGAACACAGTGCCTCTGTCTTTGAGCGCTAATTATTAGCTACAAAGTGAGTGGCATTTGTGCAATAAAATGAAACATTCGGGATGGGAGGGTGCATTTTTTAGGCCTTAGCTTTGGGTTGTCTTGATAATGAAAAAGAATAATGTAACAGCCTGTCCATGTAGCTAAGTACTTAGTACTTAGTACTCCTGCACCAATTTCTAGAGCACGACTTCCCTTCTGGGACTCAGAAGGGCAATTGGTTTGATTCTCCAGCCCACACTTTCTTCATTTAAAGTAAGATCCGAGGAAGCAGATATATTCCAGGGACTTGCCCCACACCACGCTGCTTCCCCTTCTTAAGTGTGTATGAAGGAGAAAGTAGGTGAGAATTTACTTATGCCCCGTCATTCCATTTCCGTTAAGAGCAATCAATCCGGGTTCCAAATACCTGACCAGCCGCACGCCCAGACTCCTGATAGCATGGGGTTTGTTGATTCCTGCTTTGGGTCCTTTTCCAGGTTGGGTGGAAGCCAGTGCCAGGGCTTCTAGACCGCAGGTGGCAAACCGAGTCAGCCAGTTCCTAAGCTTTTTTCTGCGAGAAAGTAACGATGCTCGAAAACACTAAACAACAGACAAACGTAGTTTCTGAGGAAACTATCCTGAGGTCTGTTGATGAAGAGTGGTTTTTTAACACCTTTATTGTGGTCTGGTTCCTGTACAGCAAACTGCACATATTTCAGGTGCGCAATTTGATGAATTTTGATAGACGTATATACATCCCGGAAGCCACCATCACAATCCAGACAGCTTACATTTCCATCACTCCCCAAGAGGTGCGATTTTTGAATTCCCAGTTTATCCCTTCCCACCCTCTTTACCTCCAGTAACCATGAGCTTGTTCTTATGAAAAGAAATTCTTTACCTATCATGTTCCCAGTGTGTGCCAATGGCCAATTTCATTTCTTCTTCTTTTTTTTTAATCTGGACTTGGCTGGCCATACTGATCATGGAGTTTTGATCTCAATAAAATGTCAGATGATTAAGGAATACGGTCAATAATATTGTAATAACTTTGGATGAAGACAGATGATTACCAGAATTATCACGGTGATCATTTCATAACGTTTGCAAGTATCAAATCACTATGCGGTAGACCCAAGCTAACATGATATTGTCTGTCAACTATATTTCAGTTAAAGAAGTGTCGGATCATGAATCTAGTGAATGTGGTAAAAACATACAAAAAAAAAGCAAATTAAAAAAAGGCAAAGAATTGGAGGGAGAGAAGGAAGGAAGGAGAGAAGGAAAGAGGGAAAGAAGGAAGTTTACAGAAGTCACCTCTATTCTCAGTTGACAACCTCCTTGTTATTTGGCCTTGGGGTTTTACAGTAGCAGAGTTTTTGTAGGACTACAGTCACTTACTCTGTTTTGGATACCAAATGTGGCCTAAATATCTCCCTTTCATGTGTAAGAAGATAGCAGAGTAAAGAAAAGATTGTAGGTTTTGGCAAAAGACATATCAGGATTTGAATTCAGTCCCAGTCATTTGCTGCCTGTATAACTTTAAGCAATTAATCTCTGTGCTTCAGTTTGCTCATCCATCAAATCAAGATTTAGAGCGAATGATCCTGAAAGATCATTGTGAGTCATGGACATCTCACTAAAACGGACTGAAATTTGTGAAAAAAGAATTTCAAAGCATGGACTTTGCTACAAAAAAGAATGTCTTCAGACTTCCATTTTCAAATGAGATAGAGTGATAGGGACCGAAATGATGGGAAAAAAACAACATACAAAATGTATGGAACAATGGTTTTCAAGTCATTGGATATGAGACAGCAAAGGACGGTGACCCCTGAGAGGGGGACACAAGTGCTGGAAGCCCTGCACTTGCCCCAGGTTAACATCTGGGGAGAGCTTCAGGGCTGCAGCGCAAGGGAAGGGCTCCAGCCAGAACACAGCAATCTGAGCTGGGGAATCAGAGCTGGGGTCCAGGGGGGGCCAAAGCCCTAGCGCTCGCCAGACGGAGCACCGGATAGGACGGAAGCCCTCGTGGTCGGCAGAGGGCCCCCCTTGAGTCTCTGACTGAGTACTGATCACTGTGTGCATGTGTGTGTGTGTGTGTGCGTGCGCGCGTGTGTGCATGTGGCGGGGGGACTGCACTACCAAAGGTTCAGAAAAGAGCCATCTAAAAAGAACAGAGGAAAACAGAGCCTGCGCAGCTCACACGGGAATAACATAATGCCTGTCTCCAACTCACAGCCTAGAGAAACCCTCAGTGTCGGCAGGATGCGCAAAAAGGCTTTGCCTCACGAGTTCAGCAGAAATAGCTCTTACTGGTCCTACCAAGACGGCTGAAAAGCAAGACCCAAGGACTAAAGCTGTTTCCCAGAAACTGCATCCCAGAACAAGGCTGACGAATATTTATCCTAATTTTGAGCACTCACCGAGGCAACACATGTAGAGTTCTATTTGTCGATTATTCCTCAATAAAGTTAAAAAAGAAATACCTCCACTTGGCTTTCTAATAAGCATTTAGAATCCAACATGTCAAAAACATCACCACTGATTGTAAAATCTACGAATTCCCCCAATCCTCTGCACCAAGTCGATGTCAATTTCTTTCATTTTCTCTGGAAGAAAACCTTGGAATCCATCTTTGAATCCTTTCTTTCTTCCGCGTGGCATAGTCAGTCAGTCAAGAAATCCTTTCAGCCCTGCTTCAAAATAGATGCGGAATCTGACCACCTTCTACTCTGTCTGACGCTGGCACCACCAGGCCTTACCTGGAGAACTACAATAACCTCCCCCGGTCTCTCTGCCACTTCCCTTGCCACCTGTTAGTCTATTAATCATATAACATCCAGGCTAACTTCCTAGAATGCAAAATAACATCTCATGCCTCTCCTCAAAACCTAATCTCTCTCCATTGCGCTGGCCAATGACCAAACTGTAAATTACTGTTTGCACGTGTGAGCACGTGTGTGTGCAGGTATGTGCATGTGCGTGTGCACGTGCGTGCACATTGTTGTGGTCCACTCTGTTCTACGTTTAGCCCGTTTCTAGTTAATCCTCCTATGTAGTGCAAGCTATGGATTAAGTTCTTTTTCCTTGTTGATGTGGTGGTGGTGGTGTAGTCATTGTTTCCTTCCTTTTACGTAGGCAAATTGTTCCAGCGCTGTTTGTTTAAAAGACTATCCCTTCTCCGTCGAATCACATTGGCAGCTCTTTTCTCTGATCCTCATAGACCGGTTACTTACAACGATTGATTTTTTTCCAGCAAATGTAGTCACTGAGCAGACTTAACTCAGAAAGCGTGCGCTAAAGTTCTAGTATGGGGAGCTACCTACCTACCTTATCCTGGCTCGAGTCCTTTACCTTTTCATCCAGGGTTCCGGACCTAACGTGGAAATCCACCTAAGAAATGAGATTAAGGAAAGCACTCAGGCTAAGCTGTCTGTCTGACTTCGTCCCCGTCCTCTGGCAGGGTTCCAGCATGCAAGGAGATGCTAATTCTGGCTTCACTTACTGCCGCATCCCTCACCAAAATTAGCCGGAAAAGGTTTAAATACAAAGTAAGGGGCTAGAAAACATCTCTGTGCCATCTTGTGCTTTGGCTCTCGGATTGCCTCCACCTCTCTGTTTTTCCAGAACTTGATTTACGTTATTGCTTGTCTTGCTTTCTCAGATGTACACCACTTTTCCTGGATAATAATGATTATATCAACCATCTACTTTTTAAAAACTCAGAGTAAAAAAATAATTTTACATGCATTTAACAACTCTTTGCTAAACGGATGCATAAATAAATGAATGATGCCTATCATGAGTCAGTCCTTTTAAAACTGTGACAAATAGCACAAAGGAATGAAATTCTTCACTTTTCTCTCCGTGTCTCCCCCTCTGTAGGTTTCCTTAAGCAGTGGGTGTAATTGAACTTGACCAACATACTCATCCTTCCTGGGATGTTCTAAAAATACATTCTTTGATCTATTAAAATAAATTTCTCAACATAATTAGCTCAAGAAAGAGATTCTCCTGTATGTCCTAAGAAGGAAAAAAGGAACTGAGACACTGATCCAAAAAAGGCGAAGGAAAGAGTGGGTGAGTTGAGTTAAGGTTAGGGAGAAAAAAAGGGATAGAAAACAGAAGTTAGAGAGCAGGAAGGAAGCTATCTGTGTCATAATACTATATCTTTAATATTAATTTTAAAAGAAAAAATAACTTTGTTTCCACTGGATGTGCCAACATCATGTGAGAGAGTGTCGTCCACAGAGGGCAATGACAGTACAAGTTAAATAAAGAGTTGGTTGAGTTCGTCGCTGTGAGCTCAGCATTCTGATATCCAAGTAAGGACAGAAAAATCGGGCTCTCAGAAATGCCCAAGCTGGAGAGTCTGGGTTGCAAAACAAGGACCTAGGACTCTTCTGCTCCCACGTGTGTTTTGGGCTAAGATGTCACCGATGAGTGATACTCTCAGGTGTACGGAGTATTCTATTTGTTACCAGTTTAGTTGTTTTTTTGTTTTTTTCCCTTGGCAGGAGGTTGGAGGTACCTAGGTTTTGTTTAATTTTTGGATGGAGGTACTGGGGATTGAACCCAGTGCCTCTTGCCTGCTAAGCACGCGCTCTACCACTTGTGCTACACCCTCCCCCGGAGTGTTCTATCTGCAACCAGGCCACTAATCATTTCAAGGAGACCACAGTCCAAGGGCACATAATAACTCCATGTGCATCAAACAGTGTCGCTCTGCTCCCTCACCTTTACTGCTCTCTAATCCCAAAGGTATGATGTGAGCGAGCGAGGATGGTACCTCTTACCCACACCCGTGAGAGAAGAAACAAGTTGTATCGAGCACTTTCTGTGAAAGGAATTAGCAGAAATCAGCACGTTGCCATTATAAAGTGGACCTCTATCCACAAGATGATTTGTCCAAGGAATTGATAAATTTACAGTGTTTCCCACAAGGCATGTTCCTAAAAGCTCATCAGAAAAATTAATGGAAACAATGCGACTCACTTAAAATAAGCTAAATATAGCCTTTATACATACACCAAAAGCCAAGTCAAAAGATAATAAATTGACTAAAAAATACTGATACATAAAATGCAACTTCTCACAGCTGCACCAATTTCTAGAGCACGAATTGCCCTCCTGGGACTCAGAATAGCTTACTGTTGGTTTGACTCCCCAGTCCACACCTTCTTCATTTAAAGTAAGATCCGAGGAAGCAGATATATTCCAGGGACTTGCCCCACACCACGCTGCTTCCCCTTCTTAAGTGTGTATGAAGGAGAAAGTAGGTGAGAATTTACTTATGCCCCGTCATTCCATTTCCGTTAAGAGCAATCACTCCGGGTTCCAAATGCCTGACCAGCCGCACGCCCAGACTCCTGATAGCACGGGGTTTGTTGATTCCTGCTTTGGGTCCTTTTCCAGGTTGGGTGGAAGCCAGTGCCAGGGCTTCTAGACCGCAGGTGGCAAACCGAGTCAGCCAGTTCCTAAGCTTTTTTCTGCGAGAAAGTAACGATGCTCGAAAACACTAAACAACAGACAAACGTAGTTTCTGAGGAAACTATCCTGAGGTCTGTTGATGAAGAGTGGTTTTTTAACACCTTTATTGTGGTCTGGTTCCTGTACAGCAAACTGCACATATTTCAGGTGCGCAATTTGATGAATTTTGATAGACGTACACATCCTGGAAACGACCATCACAAGCAAGACAGCTTGACGAGACACAGATAATTCCGGAACACCCCTAGTTCTCCATGGAAACCCCTGAAGGAAACAGTCTTCAGGACACAACATTATAAAATTCTTCATATTATTTTTCCCCTCCATGCTGGCAAGAAACCCAGTGACAAGAAGAACATATGAGAGAGAATGACTCAGATCAAACCCATATGACCTCCATTGGTTGAGCAATGCTGGAAACGTCTAACCTGCGGGGAATATTTTATGTCAAAAGGATCAAAAAACATGAAGATTGCTTACCCTCTCCAGATCAGCCCAGCTGCCAAAATGACCCCAGCTGACTCCACAAGACACAGAACTGTCCTGTCAGGCCCTGTCGGAATTCCTGGCCCACAGAGCTGTGGGATATGACAGAAAGGTTTTAGGGCACTAAAGTTGGGATATTTTATTATTCAGCACTAGAGAAAGAAAACTAAAAGAGCAGTAACTCAAACACGCAATTTACTGGCGCTTATATCTGAAAAATCCAGAGTTCTGGCGGGTTTCAGATATGGCTTGATACAGGTGTTCCTATTTTAAAAATTTCCTTGTTCTGTGTTCATGCCACTCTCAGGCCCCCTCTGTTGTTTCATGATGGAGGCTGGCTGGTCGTATGCCCGGAGGAGGGGAGAGTACAGCTCAGTGGTAGAGTGGGCGCTTAGTGTGTGTGAGGTCCTGGGTTCAACCCCCAGCATCTCCATTAAAATAAATCAACTTCCCCTGCAGAACAAAAAGGAAACCCTATACCCAGAGGGAAGGAGAGTGTTTATCTTTGGAGCTACAAGGACACCGAGAAGAAACCCAACCAAAAGTCCTTGCCACGTGTTCCCCCGCTTATTCCACTTAACCTCGCACCCTCTGACCTCTCGCACTTCTTCATGACTGCCCACCCTTCATCAAACTAGCATAAAAATACTCCGGTCTTGCTTTGAAGGGCCTTCATTTTCTTATGAAGTTTCCCATGTCATGGAAAACCGACATTTAATAACTTTGCGCACTTTGCTTTTGTTAAACCATCTTTGTCCGTTTAATTTTCAGACCCAGCCAGGGACCCTAATAGGGAGGAGAAAAAGCTTTTTTTCCCTTCCCGTTAGAATCGCAATCCAACAGTCCAGGCCTGGAAACAGCAAGATGAGGAATTTCACTGAAGAGTTTGTGGATCTTTTGGTAAGTTTCTAGAAGGAGCAATCAAATTGGGCAAGAGACTCCGAGAAGAAGGAGGTCATGCTAATAAGACAGAAAAGGTGAGTTCATGTAGATAATCGGGTGAGGTTTTGCTTGTCAGTGTGCAGGCTAAGTGAGGGCACAGACAGTGTCTGTGCTCAGGGGTTAGGCTTCCATTACGTTACATTAGGTTTCCTGTGAGAAGGGGAGGGGGTAAAATCAAAGGGAGCGGTATGTCACATGACCAGCCAGAGCCCTAAAGAGCCCTCATTTCTAGCAGCTGAATGACTTCATACTTTTTTTAACAGTAAGACAGGGAGAAAACATTCCTCGGGGAATATATGGACAAGAGAATATTTAGAGCTATTTGTTCTTGCTTAAGGCTTAGTGTATTTACACAAAGGCAAAAAATAACTTATTAGAATAGGAATAAAAACAAAATGACAGGTGGAATAAAAGAGAGTCAGTGATGAGGAGGGTGTAGCTCAGTGGCAGAGCACGTGCTTAGCATGCATGAGGTCCTGGGTTCAATCCCCAGTAACTCTGTTAAAACAAACAAACAACAAACAAATCTCATTACACCCCCCCCCAAAATAAACACTTCTAAAAGTGAGTCAATGAGAAATATGTTTATAATTCTATGTTGAGAACATATCACACATTATTAGTGTCCGCAAGAAAACTTAACTTCCAGGACAAGCCCTGACATTGATGAAAAAGTCACACCACACACAGGTCACTGCCAATATTCTGTTTTTCCTAAAGAAGGAGAAACTATAAAGTCTTTCCCAAAGAGAAATATGCCATGAAATACCCTAGCCCCCTAAGGCATCCAGCCCTTCCTTGGGCCCTGTGTCTGAGATTGAACCTGTCCCCAGGAGGTAGATTGGGAAACAACCAAGATTGAAAAAAAAAAGGAAATTTCTTCCACTAGCCTTGAACCTTCCTGCAATGAACAGAAGAATAGGCCAGGGCTCACAGAAAGCCTTTGTCCAACTGACAAGGATAGACGTCTCCATGAATTTACTTGTTGCCTGTGGATCTTGAGGTAGGCGATTGTGTTTTTGCTGAAGTAGATAATTACTAGTTACCAGTGATTGTCTGGTAACTAGCTCTTCCCAAAATGTACTCTGTGGTGTTAATATGTATTCTGTTGTTAAAAATGTCCTCTATCAGCTTAGCTTGGGAAATGCTGGATTAAAAGGTTGTAACCCCAACATACCCATGAGGCTTCCACCCTGTTGCTCCAGCTCCTAGTGGCTCGTGCCCGAGGACTGGAAGATGCTTGGAGCACCTGCACTGCAGTGGCTGCTGGTGGAATCCACCATGAGAATGAAAAAGACCATAAGACTCATTTTCTGTGTCCCCAGATGAGGGCTGGGTTCTGAGGGGAGGGGGAGTGAAAAATCTTCTCTTCGATTCTGACAAGCTGTTGCCCGGTGAAAAGTCATTTTTCTGTTTGGGACCTCATAAAGACAAGTGGACACAAGTCCCTGCGTTTCTGGTCCTCACCGAAGGGACCAAAAGTTAATGCCTACCATCCTCCCATCATTCTCAGCTCCTCTCACTCTGATTGGTCTGTACGTGCAATCAAACCCTTTACTCTTTTCCAGTTACAAAACAAATGTCCTGTGCATGTCCACAGTTCTGGGTACTGGGAATCAGGAGGCACTGTTTCTAGCATTTATTTTTACTTGCTTAAATTAGCAAAAATGCTTACTTACACAAAGTAGATAGTTTCTTCAGGCTTCTCAGAGTTTAAATACGCTAACAGGCAAACTGATTTGGCTCAAATTATTTTTCTGCTTGACGCATCTCTGTGTGATGCTTCAGCAAACCCTAGTTTTCATCAGATGATCGAAACATATGGTGCAGAAATGACTGCAGTAAGTGTTTTCTGCTCAAAACCAAGAAGTAGAAAGCCAGTCAGGACAGCTTGTTAGCAGAAAATATAATTGGGTTCTCCCTCTGGTTTCTGTTTTAGGAAATATTCTTGCTAAAAAAAAATTTCGCGGATTAAATATTAGAAAGAGCTAAGAAATTGTGCTTTCATGAATCTTGAAGGTTAACGGTTAATAACCTTTAAAAGGCGCATATCCATGTTGTACACCAGAAAGTAACAAAACATTGTAAGTCAACTGTATTCCAATTAAATAAGTACATAAATAAATAAATAAATATTTTCAAAGGCGTGAAAAAACAGCAACCAAATTCTCTATAAATATGATATCACTAAAGATGGCTGTGAAGGCAGGTGGAGCATGTTTTATAGTGCATTTAAATTATGCCTCCGTTCGCATTTATCACTATCTGACTTATACTTGGCTAAATTGTATCTCTCTGCCTTGCTACCTTGAGGCACTAGAAGGGCAACACTGTGCCTTATTTAATTCTGCCTTCTCTGCAGCACCTAACTTAGCGCAGATGTAGACGTCCACTAGAAGCTTAATAATATTCGTTGAATTAAACTGATCTGGCCCCGGGACAGCATGGACAACGTTCCATGTTGTCTCTGTCCAGCTTCTGGAGACAGAGCGCATGTTGAGAATGAATGACGTCAACCCAGCTTTGAGACCGTGCATGGCTGCAGGGAACAGAACATGAGCAGGTGGGCAAATAGTCAACAAGCCGACAAAAATATAGAGAGCATGGTGTTGTGTGTGTGACTTCTGGGGATCTGGAAACGCAAATGAATTTAAAGAGATATAGTTGCCTCAAACAGTTGTCACAAGGATTCGAAGGAATGCAGTTAAATGAGCTAGCAAAAATCTAGCTCCTTTGCTGAAGAAGCAGTAGCCATTATTGTTATCATTACTAATAGATTAATAGTAATAAGCCACCTGGCATGATGACAGAATGCTGAGAAATGAATTAGCCTTCAGCAAAGCCAAGAAAATTCTTTCTGAATAATTATTCTGGACTTAATATGTAGGGGTGTGGCCACCAGCTGGACAGACTGGAGATGACGCTGTCTACTGAGGGACTTCTAATGCTCACCTTGGCTGAGGAAGCCCTACGTGTGCCATGGAATTCAGTTCTGTAGGTTCTGGAAAGCCCTCCCCTTCCCCTCCTCTGCTCGTCTGCCCCTGGTAGTCCTCAGAATTCCCCGGCTCTGCATATCCGCAGCTTCTGCCAAGCCGCCATCACTCCCCGGGGCAGACCACGTCTGCAAGCCTAACCAAAGGTAGCCATGCGTGCTTAGAGGGGCACTTTATGATGCCTCACAAAATGTCTACTAAATAATGAGGGCTCAGTAAATGTGTGCTCAATATATGAATAAACAAATTAATTAAAGCAAAAGGTCCTGAGAAGAAGTTTCAACTTTATTTGGTAGACATCAGAGAATACATTAAAAGAAAAATTTGGATGCAAGAAGCTATATTTAGGAAGATTCTCTGGAAGGACTATATAGAAATCATTTGAAATCGGGACAGGGTTGAGACTGAAAGACTAGCCAATCCTGTTCTATTTTGGGAAGGCGAGACAAGTGTCATAGGCAAAGAAACAGTTAATTCAGGTAAGAGGAAGTATGGTAACTTTAGTAATGGGATGGAAGGGACAAAGGAGAAGGAAATATGTCTAAGCAGATTTCAAGCATGAGTGAGAGGATAATTACACATTAATAAAACTAGAAAATACTGCAGGAAGTTCAGTTTTGTGTAAGACAGTGGGCTTAGTTTCAACCAACAGATCAGGAAGGCGTGGGGGGGACATGATGGGG